ATTTCATGTATACGTATACATACATCAAAAGAAACCGATAATATATCGAAATGTCATTAAAAATAATCCGTTATGCCGCGGCAGAGCGGCAGAGAGAACGGCAAGAATTTTGAAACGCTCCCTTATCATAACTGATGTCCAAAATGATCAATTAGAATCCAATAACCATGCATCACAAAAAATCATTTTGAAATCATCTCCTATGTAAAAACAAACGTTAGAAAATCAAATTAAAATCAACTATTTTTTTGATTGCTGGCTGAGTTAAATCAAAATAAAACAAAAAAATGTATGATTTTAATCAATGCTTCTTCTGATTAAAACATTATATACCGCTACTTTAATCTGATTTTAGTGCGATTTTCTCATTTTTAACCTATTCTAATCCAGTAGGTGGATCTTGATCAATCATAACAGATTGTAACGGACTGACCTCGATCTTCATGCGTAATAGTGATTCTGCGAATACTATTTTGAATTATCGCACCTGATCGCAATATATAAGTGTGAAGCTACGACCGCCGTTGACGACTATTTCATGTAATTTCTTTACGCATGAGCAGAGCGACAACCTTCTTCTCACGATTGACCTCTAAAGAAAAGCAAGAATGAAATTGTTTATTTGAAATAGTTTTGGTTCAATGATTGTTGGAGAAAAAACAGGAATTATTTATAATAATGAAATGGATGATTTTTCATTATTAAATTCGAATTTGGACAAAAATTTTATTTCACCTGGAAAACGTCCATTATCATCTCAATCACCTTTCATTTTAATTGATTCAAATGGAAATATTCGACAAATTTTAGGTGCCGGTGGAGGAAACAAAATTTTAACAACTGTTTCTCAAGTTTCTTTAATTAATCTTTTATTTCATTTCAATATTAAACAATCAATTGATCGACCCAGATTACATCATCACGCACTTCCGAATGAAATTATTTTTGAAAAAACCTTTAATCGAATAATTTATCTTATCATCTTTTTTAATCTTAATTTATTTTCCAAGGATATATTAAATGGATTAAAACGTCGTGGACATGAAATGAAATGTACATCTTATGGTGGATCAGCTGTTCAAGCTATTCAATGGGATTACAATACCAAACAGTATTGGGCATATGCTGATCCCAGAAAAGGTGGAAATACACATGGATATTAATTCAATATAATTCATCTTTTCTTTTTAACAACAATTTTCAAAATACAAATCAAATACAATTTATAGAAAACATTTTCAAACAAAATTTTCTATTTACTCTTTCAAATATACAAAAAAACTTTCGTCGACTGAACGGCAGAGTCACAAAAAAAACAAATGCATTTATCCGATTATTATTACAGAGTGAAATTTGGTCTGTAGCGAAGAGGAGATTATGTATCTATCTGTAGTATCTTACCGTTATTTGATGAAAAGAACATGCTCTTACATCGACTTTCATTAGATTAGACCGAACGTCTTACTTTCATAATAGTTTCACGATGGATTTTCGACGTCAGATCGACCTAATACATGCACAACTTTTCAAAAACACAATATCATTTCTTCTACAGTTGAAAAGATAAGACATGTGACAGATGGATTCGATAATAATCAAAATCTAGTTCATTGCAACGACCGAAATTTCAAAAACAACGTTGTCCCATAGATGTTATCGCAGAGAATCGAGACAGACTTCAAAGATGTATTTGTTGATTAGGCTCTTACGAACTATCAAGTATCATGATGAACACCAAGTGTTTCTATACACTTGAGAAAGGCGACCAGTCACAAATGGCAGACCATTGAGGGACATCGACAACTGAGTGCGTGCTATCTTCAATCGAACGAGCGAATTTAACTATTCTATGAAATACTTCTCAATGAAGGTAGTCTACCTTTTTTCGACGAAACTCTTCTCAATGAGAAAACCTTTCAAACTTAATGGTTCAAATATCATCTATGATCACAAGATCTAACGGATTTTCTATTTGTCGAATGCTGGATTATATATTTGCTTTTCAAAATTATAAAATATGAAAGATTTTAGTGAACTACCTATCTGATCACTTTTATCAAGAATATCTCTAAGAACAATGCACTATAAATATGTTCCTCATTTATAATACTTGAATTAGACAAATAAAAAGATAACATGTCTCATTCTGGAAAACTTTTCTGTTCAGAAAAAATGTTACCGGAAAGGTTGAGGGTGTGTGGCAGTCAGAAATCTCTCTCACTCTCTGATAATACTTTTAATACGAATCTTTTATATATTTTTGTATTAGACAAATTGCTCCTTCTACCAAAAAGAATCGAGTCTCTATGATATTATATGAAAACGAAACACGGAAAAACAAAACTATTGCAAAACATTTAATCCATCCGCTATGTTTTGAAAGATTTTCTTCCACATAAATGATTAAAAATTTCCAATAAAACCATCAGCATTTTTTCTTAAGCTCTAATGAGCTGTTTCGTTCTTATTTGAATCAAATCGGGTATGATCAGAAAGGGTAAACTACGTTTCGTATCACCCATTCCGAACACCCGGCCACATTGCCAGCTGTAAGAGACAATAGAATATCGATGTACATAGACGATAATAATCATTATAATTACATATCGGCAGTTTAGAACTTTTCATCAAGAACGAGATCCTTTTGAGGAATGATGACGTCGTTATTGTTATTATTCTTTTCTCTTAGATTCTGTTCATTGTTCTCCATAGTAGCAAAAGTTTCACTTCCATTCCGCGGTAAATAACCATTGCCAGGGAAAAAAATAGCGTAGACTGCACCGGACACGAAAATCGGTATAGTGTCGAAGACATAAAAATAGACTTCATGTACTGCTAAATAGCCAGTGAAGCCTTGAGCAAATTCAATTACACGATAGATTTGTCGAATCAACACGAGGATGCTGCTGAGATAGATTACATATAGGAATCGCCGCCAACCTTTCTGACGGACACTACCGACTGTAAAAGCAGGAAATAATTTTCTTGTACAATAGTCAAAATTGAAGATCTGTAGACAAAAAATAGCAAACGAGACGAGGTTGACTGCAAGACCAGCTAGAAGAACATCCTGTCCAATTTTTACGGTTTAAATTCGCTCCATCTGAGATGAGTAGCCCTGCACCAGCTGATTGAATAAAAAATGAGATAACGTCACAAATGATAAAGATCCAGGCAACCAGTTTTGTTTTGATCAATGAGTAATGATCACCCACAGCATGCATTAACCGACCAAGCAACACATACTCGATCGCAGCATTAAATACAGGCGGGAGAATGAGGCAAGCATGCATACATGCATATAAAAGAATTCGTCCGATGGAATTTAAGACTAATGGAATGCGAGTTCCATAGCCAATAATTTCCATAATGCATCCAATTAAGAGTGGAATCATGTACCAACTTCGTTTCCAGATCGTCCAAATTATGAGAATGATGAAGGATAGTATATAGAAGACTAGAGACACGACAGCGACACTCAGTGAAGGCATATAATGGAATGAGTTTGCCGGATCATCAGCACCTCCTGGCGTATAGCTGAGTGTTATGTTTCCATTAGACATGGTAAATTGACTAGCAATTAATGAATGTTTATAACACTCAGCTGGTGTGTTTTATAAACCTATCTTTTATAAAAGAGTTCTACAAATAAAGTAATCATATTTTGAATAGAATTTATCTTAGGGCGTCGGAAGAAACAATTTATCATTGCTTGAAAAACTCATTAATCGCCATCTGATCTAAACGTTTCGCAGTTTTTCTAAGCTATGTCAGAATATTCTGTGTATATAATTTCATCGAAAAATAAAATCGCTTTTATCATTATCGATCGCCAATGAAAATATAACATTCCTATAGTATTTATTAGGCGAAGACGATTGTATATATTTTTTTATCCCATTTTAGAAAAGGTGAAATGATCAAGGAGTATATGTGAAAATGATACATTAGAAAGCACAACACTAGGAACAGGTCGAAGAGTATTTATTCTGTAACAGAAAATCTATTCTTCTAAGAGAAATAGTAATCGTAAACAAATGAAGATACTCTAAGCGTAACATTTTTTCAATTATGTTAATGAATGAAAGTCGGCTGGATGACCCGTTCTGGTAGAAAAGGTCGCCCGTACTGGAACCCGTTCTGACACACAGGGAGACGCCCCGTACTCGACCCGTTCCTATGTGGATCGGGTGCTGGGCGTACTGCTGCCCGTCCAGAACGGCCCGTATCATGACCCGTTCTGAGATAAAAAATGACGTCCAATACTTGAACCCGTCCTTGTGTACAAAAACACGTCCGTATAGGCTCCTAAGTTTGAGACAAACTTCAGTTGACGAACGTAAAGTGTTGCACTACATCAAACTTAAGATCGACTTCAATTTAAGTGCACAACTTAGTCGCACGGTCTTAAGTTAAGTCCATGCACTTAATTGGTGCATCGTGCAATTATTACTGTATTGCAATTTAGCGTACTTTTTCAAAAAATAATAGAGTTCGTGATAGTTCAGTTATATGGCATGAGCTTATGAAAAATATGGGAAAAAGAGAGAAAAAAAAGATGATTAAGAGAGACTCTGTGAGAAAATGGAGAATGCTGTAAAAAAGGGCGATAAAACCTTCAAAAATTAAATTTTTTCTAAATACGATTTTCGGATACTCCTTCCAAAGTTATCTATGAATCGAAGTTTCTAGCCGTTGAAAACTCTTCATCGTTGAGGGAAAAGTTTTTTAAAAAAAGTACCAACAAGTTTTCTGCAAAAATTTAAGGATTCTGTATTTCTTGCTCTTTTAATTGTAGCGACATTATCACACATTTGATTTTCTTAAATTACACATCATCGAACGAGTACAAAAAATTCAACAAATCCTGATATTGGTCAGATCTCAAATAAATTTTCGTTGCCGAAAAAAATTAACTAAAGTACCTTTAGAACAAAAAAAAGTAGCTAATTTTTCCAGTAAAACAATTATTGTGACAAAAAATTCCATCGGCCCAGAACAATTTGTGGCATTCTTGTAGAGAATAAAATTCTCTACAAAATGCACTATAGTACGTTGAAATACAACCGGCGGAACAGGCTAAAAAACGCTCAATCATTGTACCATTAGAATAAGTATATTCACGAAAATTATTTTAAACATGATTTTCATTTCTATAAAGTCCTGCTGCATCATCAATAGGTCAAAGAATGTTAACAAAGCCGTTCACAAATAGGTAGGATATTAATAGACGAGCGTAGAAAATAAGTAGTAAATAATTGTATTACTGTCTGTCCAAAAAAAGAATGAACTCTGTTATTTTTTGAATACCTTTTAAAGGAAAAAAGGTAGACTCCTGCTGTTTTCAGCATTTTGTAGCCAAGGACTCACTGCATCTTTTCATATATGAGGGGGATTGCAAATCTTAGATTTCAGGTAGTATACTTCACAAGTTTTTGAAAAACAAGATCATTTTTTGTAAAATTTTTATGACTTTCAAAAATTATTTAATCACACTTTAGTAAATTGAATACAGTTCTTGACGGATAAGTGGCAGAGACTTGGAAGAGACCTCCCTAGTGGAACTTCTTGTAACCAAGATCTTGACTTCTTGAATTTTTCCAGTAAGATCTTGATTCAAGATCGTGATAGAAAAATATAAGAATTCAAGAAATTTCAAGAAGTCAAGATCTTGAACATCTTGTAATTTCTTGACTTCTTGTACCAAGAACTTGGAAATTCTTGAATCATCGTTTTGTTTTACACTCTTGTGTAAATATAAGCGCGAATATTTTCACACTTAGAATAACTTCGAATTTTTTTCCTTCTTGACCATAATTGTTTAAGGAAGAATCTGTGACTCTCTATGGTCATATATCCAATGGCTATAACTGTCATAAATAAAAACAAAATGTAAAGAAAATTTGTCACTCAAGCTCTTGCAACATATTGAGGGCTTCACTCAAGATCTTGAAACTTCTTAGCCCAAGATCTTGGCCAAGGTCTTGAGTGACAGATTCAAGAATCCAAGATCTTGAAACATCGTGGCTTACTCCATTCAAGATCTTGAAATTTCATAACCCAAGATCTTGAGTGAAGTAAGCCAAGATGTTTCAAGATCTTGAGTGAAAGATTCAAGAATCCAAGATCTTGACTTCTTGATGTTTTTTCCAAGATCTTGTGA